GGTTCGGTTTCAACCCCCTTTTCTCGCTTTCCCACTCGAACCCCTCCAAGGACAGTATTTCCTCCTGAAGCAAGGAAATGCCCAGAAACGCATGTGAAAGTAGCTAAATAGGAAAAAAAGCAAGAACATAAAATCGACATGAAATAATAAAAATTCCAAATGTGCCTCATGCCCTAGAAATCTTTAGGAGCAAGAAAAATATCAAGCATTTGTTCTGGTTTTACTGTAAATCTTGTTGTAAGAGAGTCACACCGATGTGAAAAAACTAAAATACCTTTTATTTTTAGAGGAGTTCTAGGCAAAATACACTGCTAATTTCTTTCACTTTTATTTTCCCCATAGCTTATTACTTAGAATGAATCTGAAAGAGTTTGCATTGCTGTCGAGGCCATTCAGAGTTTTTAGCGGAGTCTTTCTGGTTTCCTCATACGATGTCACGCAGCTGCTTGCTTTGCTAAAACCAAGAGCCTCGAGACAGCCAGCGGTCGTCACACCCCCCAGCAGACAAATTACCACTCACCCTTCTGCTGAAGAAACCCCCTCACCAAACTGCTGCATTTCTCCTGCTGGGACTCCCCCCCGGGTCACAGGGAAGCGTTTTTCCTGGGAGGGATGGAGCTCCTGGTTTTGGGGACACCAGGTTTGCATTTCAGATGTGTCCAACCACCATCTGCTCTGCCAGTGCATGCTGTGATTTTTCTTCACCCCTGATTTTCGGGGGGGGGCTCAGCTCTTCTACCCCCACACACAGTTGAGGAGCTCTGGCTGCTCTATCCACCTCCAAAAATCTGCCTGGGGGTGTATTGACATGCCCAGAGTTGCCAGCCACTTCAGAAAATACTATTTGTAGGCAAAATTGTTAATTTTCCAGAGAATGAAGCTGAGAAATTGCTGGGATTCATGTTAATAGATTTTTAAGGGGAAATATCTGCTTGGCTGCCAGTAATATTTCAAGGTTGGGCTGAAAGCAGGATCTGAGCTCCCTTCTGGCTCACATGCCCCAGGCGAGAGCTCAGGGGCAATACTGACCACCCCTTCAGCCCAGCAGAGGTGCTGGGGCTGCCCCTCCTCCCAGCACTGACCATCTCACCCACTCAGTGAGGCTGGAGGGGCTCCGTGATGAGCCACCGAGAGGGAGGAGTAATTCTTGAGAGGCTGGGACTTAATGGCAGGAGAACAAGATGAGAGAACATCTCCCTAAACCACAGGATGGCGATTTCCACTTGGGTCCAAATGATCACTAGGGAAAAAGTTAGAGATCTCCTCATACAGTGTTTTTATGACAAAATCTGAGCACTATTGCCAGCTGTATTTTCACAACTCCAAAGAACTGAAGTGCTGTCCTCAAACCCTGGGCATCCAACGAGCATCTGAGGATCCTGCAGGAAGTGGGAGCCAGCACAGGCACTGCAGGCTTGGCCAGTCTTGGCTCCATCTTCTACTTCCCTGCAGCCATGGGGCAGTGGGGCTGGATAACCCACCTCCAGAGCCTGGATGAGAGCAGGTACCTCTGCTAAAGAAAAGAACTGGAGAAAGAGATGGGGATCTCTGGCTACTAACACGCTGTCTTGGGCAACCAGAGATTCATCCTGGGGCTGGTAGAGGACCCAGAGCCAGTGTGGAAGAGCTGCAGACAGCACGAGAAACCAGTCATAAACTATTTGAGCAGTATATACTGTGGTGGAGGCATGTCCAAAGGAAAGGCAGGACTGGAGTTGGGAATTTCCCCCATGTGATGTGTTTGGTCTCTTTTCCCCAGGGTAAAGTGGCAGTCAGCTTTTCCAGCCCCATTGTCACAGCTTCATTACCACCCCCGTCCCAGGCCAGACACACACCCATCAGCGAAGGGGAGATCTTCAGGCTACCAGGCAGGCTGAGTGAGTAGATATTGAGCAAGTCAACGCTGCTTAAAAAAGGTGTTCCCGCAGGGTGGGACATGGTGGGTACAGCCGTGGTGTCCCACCAGGGACCATTCCCTGCTGTCAAGGGTGACAAGATGGACCAGTCGTCAGGGTTCGTTTTCTCTCTTTGGGGCATTTTTGGCCTTAATATGGAGGGAAAGTTTGGTGGTAGAAAAGACCAGTATCCTACCCTGCCCCTCAGCAGTCTCCAAGATGGAGACTGAGTTGTTTCAGAGGCTGCCCCTGGTTTCAGGAATCCAGCCCTCACTGTGGAGCAAGGACGACGTGATCCACTGGCTAAGATGGGCTGAGGAAGAGTATTCCCTTCGGCAAACTGACGAAAGCAAGTTTGAAATGAACGGCAGAGCCCTGTGCATCCTCACCAAGGATGACTTCAGATACCGAGCTCCGAGCTCAGGTTAGACCAAGTGCAAGGGTGTTTCAGAGCACCATCCAAATACAGCACAAGCTGCGGTCTGCTGAGATGGGTCCCAGCAGACCAGGCTTTATCTCTGGCCAGTTGGGTGCTGGAGACAAGGACAACCCTCTCCCTTCCTTTAGTCCCTCTGGACTGCAGATGTTTTGGGATGGGGAATAACCTCATACTCTGTAGCACAGAAATCTAAGCAACAGAGACTGTAACACAAAGTCATCTGAGCACTTTCCTTCTCTGCAGGCGACGTGTTGTATGAAATACTCCAGTACATTAAGACTCAAAGAAGAGCTCTGGTGTGCAGCCCTTTGCTGAACTCACCCTTCAGGGAAGCCAGGAGCACAGAGGAAGGTATGATGGAGAATGGCAGCTGTCTATCAAGCAGAGCCTGCCCTCAGCTACAGCAGGTTGCACACACCTGAAGTTTGAAGCTCAGCCAGCTGAACCCATCCCACACTACCTGAGCAAGGCAAGCAAGACAGTCCTGGAGGTAGCAGCCAGGTCCAGCAAAGTCCAGGTCATCAAGGAACTCTCTAGTGATGAAGCAGGTCTGGTCAGAATCAGGCCTAGGCAGCACCAGGTGGGTCCATGGTGACCAGGCAAGGCGATGGCTACGCTAGGATGTCTATCTGTGGCTTAAGATCTGGATCAGGGAGGGCCAATAGCCAGGCAGTGGCACAGCCCTGGCTGGAGACTCCTGCAGCATAGCTAGGAAGGGGTTGGGGAGCCAGGGCTGAGCTTAAATAGAGCTTCTGGGCCAATGGGTGGAGTGGGGAGAGGCTCTAGGTGAGGCTGGTCAGGGCCAGTGAGACTTGTTAGTGCCCTCGGGGGGGCCTAGGTAGGAGTTAGGGTGGGGATAGGTTGGTATTGGTGCCTGGTTTTGTGTTGGGGTGGCTCTGGGAGACCTTTCCTGAGCTCTCCTGCTGGCTCAGGTATAGGGTGATGAAAATCTTAATCCCCCACAGCAATTTACGAGGGAGTGTCTGTACTCTGGTGTGTTCTCCCATTCCAGCTTTTCTTCTGTATCTGACCCTCACCCTACCTGGCATCTCTTCTAACCCCCTGGGCCTTCTGCCTTAGGAAAATCCTAGGCTTTCCGCAGCACCCAGCTCTTCTGGCTGGTACTGGGCTGATAACCAACCTGGGCTGTCCCTCCTGACCTCTTTCAGGGCTTTGGAAGGTCTCCTGGGCCCTGCCGTAATGCACCACAGGGTTGTTTGGGTTTGGTTTTATTTTTCAGGGCCAGACTGCAGTGCTGAGGCTGCCCCAGTTGCTCTTTCCTCCTGCCTGGGTCGTGCAGAACAGCCTGTGTCCCGCAGCCATGCAGAGCCGCTGAACCTCGCCCGTCACAGCTCCGAGGGCAGATGTGGGGCAGATGCCACCTGCTTTTTTCCCACAACCCTGTCAGCCCCAGTGGATGGGAAAATTGCAGGTAAATATGAATTTATAGCCTGATTCCTTGGGGAAATGAGATTGTGCTTTGTCCTGTCTGCCCATCTCTCTCCCTCCCATTTATTCTGTGCATCCATATGTGCTTCCCCGCCTCAGTTTCCCCACCTGAAAAGCTGTAGTCCCTGCTAGTGTTTTGAGATATAGCAATAAAAGGGCTGTGTGTGAGGTCTGGGCTCTCCTTATATTTATTATCATTGCTGATATGTGCAATCCTGTTGCTGATCAGCCCTCACCGGAGCATAGGTGCCTTAGTGGGAGCTCTGTGACTATTTATTCCCCACCAACACTCAGACTGCAGGTTGCTGTGGGATTATGTGTACCAGCTCCTCTCTGACAGCCGCTACGAGCCTTACATCAAGTGGGAAGACAAGGAAGCCAAGGTCTTCCGGGTCGTGAACCCAAATGGACTTGCCCAGCTCTGGGGGAACCATAAGGTAAATGCAGTTGAGAACAAATTGGTCATTCCTGGGGCTTCTGCATGTCACCTTCATGACTTATTCCCAAGAGTTGATGGCACAGGGACTGGGAAGGGTGGGACAGAGCGGGTGCAGGGCTGCTGAGAGATGCCAGCCTCCTGGTGATGCTTCTTATCCCCTGGAAAGCAAACCACGATGGCTGAGGACCCAGAAGCAAGTCTGGGTTAAAGATCCACACTGCAGCCTGCAATGCTCAAGAGCCACCTTGAATGTCCCACATGAGGTCCTGCTGCAGCCAGACCCAAACCTGGTGTTGGTGCTTGCTTTTACTCAACGCTCCCCAATTGTTTTCTCCTTCCAGAACCGCGTAAACATGACGTATGAGAAGATGTCACGAGCGCTCAGACATTACTACAAACTCAACATCATCAAAAAGGAGCCAGGGCAGAAGCTGTTGTTCAGGTGAGATGAAGCAGATCACAGAAACGAGCCGCCTGGGACAATGCAGATGGGGCATGGGAAGGCAGTGGGTTCCAGATGTTGGCAGCTGCTTCATCCAGCAAGGTCCTCCCCTGCAAATGCAACACCCTGGTGGGTTGTGTCCAGGCTCTGTCCTGTGCAAGCCGTGAGCTGGGCCACCTGGGCTCCGGGTCCCATCCGATGCACTTTCCAGGGCTGTGGGCCAGCAGCCTGCCCCGTGGCCAGCATCCATCCGCTCTCCTGCATGGACTCCAGCTGGTGCTGGAGGAAATGCCCCCGAGCCCACCCAAGCTGTCTCCTGTTCCCCAGTGACACCAGGTCTGAAGTCCACCTGCAGGCAGAGGAAGGGGTGGAAATGAGTCAAAAGCTTCCTGTTTTCAGTGCTGGCTGCTTCCCTGGGACTAGTTTGGACTTCAAATGCCAGCTCTGGGCCGATGATTGCTGAGCTTTGCCTCCCCAGGCGTGGTGTATCCTGGGTGCAAAGCGAGAGCTGTGATCCTCAGCAAAGCCCAGGGATGGCAGATACCCCCTGGTGAGCTCCAGAGCTCATCTGATGAGGGCAAGGGCTCCACCATTTACAGCCTGGTTTGGGGCTGGGTTTGGACATGCCTTTCAAGCCAGTAAAAAATGTATTGCAGGTTTTTGAAGACTCCTGGGGAGATCATCCATGAGAAATCCAGCAAACTGGAGCAGCTGGAGAATGAAGATCATGAAGATTTTAAAGAAGACCCACCGGAGGTTTCACCGTAGGAAATCTTTGAAGGTGGCACTTGCAGTGCATCGCAGACAGACGTGTGCTCCGCTGGGAAGTGCTGGCATCCCTTGCATCTCCTGGACAGAAGGCCACAGAGCTGGTCCTGGATTTCAAAACCTGCCCTGAGCCAAAGCTGTGACATTTCTGGGGCTTCATTAGCCAAACACATCCAGAAACTGTCCCCCAGCCCCGAAAGCACAGGTGAATGTGTGGGCTGGTCTTTTGCTTGCTTCTCCTGTGTCTTCAGGGAGGGAATGTGATATTTTTGCTCTGTAAATTTTGATGCTTGTCTGTCTTAAGGTTCAGACTTGCTGGTAAAGACTGCTCCATTCTTACAGCAAGATGTGCTGAGCAGAGAGCACTGGAGCACGTGCTCCAGGTTGAGCATCTACTGAAGTGCTTTTGCAGCAAGCAGTGGCCCTACATGTGGACACTGCTCTGAATCAGAGCCACCTGAGAACGGACTTACATTGCAGCTATGCTGTACTCTGTCATCTCCACTGTCTCCTGTGGGGTTGCTCCTGTGATTGAGGGTGGGAGTGTGCTGAAATATCTGCCTGGATCAGGCCTGGTTGGAGCTCTGGGCTGTGTGCATGCCCTAAGCTGGGTTTTGTTTTAACTCCTTTCACGCCATGTAATGCTTTTTGTAATTAGCTGACTAAATATTGTGAAAAGAAACAAAGCCAGTCATGAATATGACCACACTCATCGTTGGACATGTGGCTATTTGCTCTGAGTCTGAAGCAGGAGTACCTGCAGCCCCCGGCACTGTTAGTGACCTGGAAGGAACGACATGTGTGGGTGGTTTTTTTAAATCTGAAAATATCCACTAATATTTTCCGATTGCTTTTCACTGAGGAAATAAAATCCCATGACTGTGTAACATTGAAAATACCACTTCTTACTGGCTGAAGGTCTGAAACAGGGAAATCCAAACCTTCCTCATTTAAAACCAGCTCCTGTGGGCACCCAGATCATGTCCCCAAGCTTGGCAGCCCCTAAACCAGAGTGCAACAGTCTGAGCTGCTCAGCAGCTGATGGGTGAACGCAGTGCAAACACAGGGCGTTTGGTACCTACGTGGACAAGCACAGGTACAGGTCATGAAGCAGCATCGTGTTTCATGGCTGATAGGAAAAGGTGAGTTTCTTCCAACCTTGGTTTTGCACCACTGCAGGAATTATCCTGCTGCCTCGGATCTTTGCTCCGGACCTTTCCCCAAGCTGCCGTCTCAGAGCTGCTTTGACCCTGCTTTTGGGGCAGCAATGCCGTGAGTGGGTCTGGGAACTGTCAGTCTTGTGAAAAACATCGGCAAGGGTTGGTGACTGAGGTTTCCACCAAAACTGGTTGTTGTCAACCTGAAACTACAGTCTCTTTTGCTATAACTGGTGTTGCTCTTCCAAAACTACTTTAAACCTGTTAGCTGGAGCCTGGAGATGCTGGTGGGCTGTAGCTGGCAAGAGATGGTGGTGGGACACATGGTGGCTGGTTGGCAAAATGTCAACAGTATGACATCTCCAGAAACACTGGCCAAGAAGTTTCACTTCTCAGAAAAAATGACCAGCTCGTTGGCAAAACACAAGTGCTTGACAAATCAAGTGATGGAGAAGGAAATGAGCAGTTCTGGTGGGGGAAATGAGCGTTGTGTCACAGCCTTTGGGAGGTCCTAGCTAGGAAGGAAGGCTAAAATCTCTGCTAGGAGACAGGGCTGGATGTTACCCAGCACCCAGCCAAGCAGCCTGGGGGTGCACCATACCAGGAAGGTGCAGTGAAGCACTTAGACCTCATCCTTCCTTCCACAAAGGGTGCTTTTTGTCCCAGAGAAGACTAAAGCCAGATCTTCCTTGAGGTGAAATCCAGCAGAGAGTCAGTACAAGTCCTGCCCAGCCCTGAGGAACAGCTTTGGTGGCAAAGCAGACCACCTTCCGTGGCAATAGTCCCATCCTGGCCCTGCATCGCTTTCAGGATACACACCCATGGGTGCATTTTTCCTGACCTCCTAACAAGACATCCCCCACACTTTCTTGCTGTGGAAACAGCCCTGATGACTCCCGAGCATCCCATCACTTCTCCAGCCTGTGTCGTTCGTTGTGTTGGAGCCGGTGAGGGTGGCCCCGTGCTTGTGCGGTGCTCACAGGGCACGTGATGCGAGATGCTCTCCTTTCACCTGTATCTCCTGTGATGACTAGGGATCTCGCTGGATGGGGATTTCCTCTCCTGGTTGGGAAGCCGCCAAAATCACTTAACCCTCCTTGTGCCGTGCTGCTGCGGCTCCAGAAGGATCTTGGAGGGTGAAAATCAAAGGGCACCTTTGCAAGGATGGGCTGCAACGATGAGCTCTTTCCATGCTCCCAGGAAGCCCTCGTGTCCTTCCCAGAGCAATGTGTCTCTTTTCCCTGTGGTAAACAGAGGCGGGAGGAGCTGTAAACCCACTGCTTTCCTGGAACGGGGACCCATCCCTTTCGGTAAACAGCCGGCTAGCTGCCGGTCGCGCCGGGGTGTTTGGTGTGGGTGTGTGGGGAGGCAGAGCACGCAGCAGTTGGTGACTTTTGCCATGGCTGAAGTCCAGGGGTGGTGGCAGGCAGGCGGGTGCCCCATGTGAGCTTTCCCGAAGGTTTGCAGGTGCTTTGTTCCCTGGAGGTCATCATCCATGCTTCAGCAGGCCCACGCCTGGTGGCGTTTGGGGCAGGGTGTTGCACGGCAGCAAACGCCCGTGTGTGCCCGCCGCTGTCTCGCACTGCTCATCTGCTGAGGGAAGCAGCTAAAACCAGTCCCAGGGCGGGAGGAAAAGATTTGCTTTGGGGGATGGTGCCCACCACCCTCTTGGATGAGAGGCACTGCACAACCACGCTGAGAGGTTTCTACCAAGGCCACGTGTTGGCTGTGCCACCTCTTCGAACTGTGGCGGGTGCAGGGAGCAGTGTCTGCCCTCAACACCCCTGTTGGGATTTGGATCCAAAAGTGCAGACACTTTTATGCCCAAGCGGCTGGTGTTGGCTCAAAGGGACCTTTGTGTTCCACTTAAACCACAAGTGCCTCCAACACCTGGTTGGTGGGCTGTGGCTTTGGCTAGCCAAATCCTGAAAACCTCCAAGGATGGTGATTCCCAACCCCTCTGGACACCCATTTGAGGTTGTCCCACCCTCCTGCAGAGGAGACTTTTCCTGATGTCCAGCTTCAGCCTGTGGCCTGTCTGTCTTGTTCCCAAGAAATTTGGGTGATTTGACTCCCACCTTCTCCTGAACCCTCTGGAACATGCTGCATCTCGCAGCTCCATGTGAGGAAGACCTCTCCCTTGGTTCTTTCCGACTTCTGGAGCTAGTTTCTGTAAATAAACCAGTTATCCCCTGCTGTGTCCCCATGATTTTAGTTCTGCTTTTTCTTCCAACATTTCTGGCCTGAAGATACCAACCTCAGCGCTGTGTGTGCCCTCTGCATGACTGTGCTTCCAGCCAGCTTCCTCATTCTCTCCCAGTGTTGATGAGAAAAGCAAATTTGGATCCAGCTCTCTTCCCCCTATTCTGGTAATGGGCTTTTGGTTTGTCTCGAGTCTCTTGCAAACATCGTTTTCTTATGCCTCTGACCCATTAAGTTTGAGCATGTCCCAAATCCCAGAAGGAATCTGAACTCAGGTAAAGGTCAGAGTCACAATTCAGGTCAAGATTTTTCCTGGACTCACTGTGGGTATCCCACCTTCATGCTGTGTCCAGAAATGCTACCACAAAGAGCAAAAGCCTGCAAGAGGCCGTAAGTCAACGCTGATTCCCAGTTTAATCATGAGAAGTCCTCCATGAGCAGGGACAGTGTTTGGACTCAGCCTTGGATGATCTCCTTTAGCAAGATCTCCAAATTGGAGATGGCCAAACAGTGCCCTGTTGTGAGAGTGGATGCGGCTTTTCATTTTATGGCTGTTGCAGAGAAAAAAACCCAACAGAATTGATTGTGAAACTCCTTTTCACCCACTGGAATCGACGTGCTTATGAAAGGATGTGGTCATATGCTAGTTAGCAGCATGGAGCTCCTCATGGATGGTTTAATTATTTATCAGAAGTAGATGTGGCTGCTGAAAAACAAAGCCAGGTAATTCCTAATCAATACCAGACTCTGATTCATCGATGTAGGCTTAGGAGAAATGGAGGGAAATGGACTGGATCTCTCCCAATGATAGGAAATTATGGCACAGAAAGTTTGTAGAAACAGAAAGAGAATAATCCTGGACTGTTTCAATTGCATGCTGAACCCGTTATCAGGTAAAGATTCCCAATTCCATCCAGGAGGGACCTGGGCAGCACATCATCCCAGCTGAAAACTAGAGCAAACGCAGCACTGCTCAGGTGGAAATCCTGCTGAGGGGTTTTCCAGAGCCTGTGCGCCCGCAGCCGCTGCCCGGCAGATGCGTCTGCATCCAGCACCGTCCCTGCAAGGTGCAGTGTGAAATGTTGCCATCAGATGGCAAAATAGCGATGAGGATGGTGGGCAGCAGCCTGCGGGAGGCTGCAACAGGCACAGGGGTGCCAGGGGACGGCTGAGGGGCCAGATGGGTCTTTTTGGTGTAAGAAGGTTTGTTCGGCCCAGAGGCAGACTGTAGATGTTGGGGTGTGCAGATCTGTCCTGCGGGTCTGGCCCTGGGCCAGGCTGAGTGGGAGCCATGTGGGTGCAAAGGATTCGGGTGAGGGGGCTGGTCCCGTTTCATGCCTTAGGGTGGGTGCACGGGCTGTCTGAAGGACCCTGGGGTGGGTTTCAAAGATGTTGCAGCCCAGCCAGGCTCGGTGTTAGGCAACAACTCGATAGCACTGTGCCCTGGAGTGTCTGCGGTCCCACACAGCCCCCAACATCCACTTTCCTGGAAGCTCCTGGGATGTGTGCTGGGCAATCTGCTTGCTGCATTGAAACCTCATTTATCTGAGAAAGTTATGACTTCTCCTTACAAAAACAACCAGGAAAAGCCCATACATAGCATCACACTCATTAAAAAAACCACCAAAACAAACCAAAACCAAACGCTAAACAGCTGGCTTAGATAGCTGGTTTCAAAGGCCAGCACTTACACCAGGTGACAGGTGATTTTTATGCTGTTTTGCTGCTTATTTGTCATAAGGAAATTGTTTTCTCCCCCAGCGAAACTCACGCCCGCTGGTTTTCCACCATGAGGGAGGTGATAGCGGGGATCCCAGGCGGAAATCATTGGCCGTTCTTCTACCTGAATGGCTGCTAAAAATAGAACTTACTCAGGCAAGCATCGGTCCTGGGTATAAAACAGGCACCTCCCAGGAGAGCCTGACAAACCTTAGCACCCACAGCCGAGGAGCTTGTCTCGACATATGTCCAGAAAGGCAGGAATACTGATGGAAAGGTAAATACCAAAAGAGCAAATAAAGAATGATGTGGCCAATGTGCTGGAATCCACCAAAGTAGGACGGGGGGGTGTTTCTTTGCTGTGATTAAATCTAGCGGAATGATTTATTATCAGGTGGTCGGGCAGCTTTGATTTTGGCTTGGATGAAGGGAACTTGCCTTCTTGATCCAGAAAAAAAGGCCCGGTTGGGGTGGGTGCATGTGCTTGTGTGTTGTGATGATGCCCATCCAGACTGAGCAGAGGCTGATGCCCAGCCCTAGGGCGGTTTGTACCGCTGAGCGCGCTGGATTTCGGTGCTGGCTTCCCCTGTGCTGTTCAGTGGGGGAGAAAGTTTGGTTTGGGTCTGGTTCTCTGAAGGGTGAAATTGGTTTCAGAAACAGAGCCAGCACGAGGCACAGGCACGATGCTCTGGTTTTTCAATAGCAGAGTCTTCTGTTTAATTT